GGTGTTACAGGGTTGTAAGACCAAGGTGGAGATAGAGTCTTAAGTCAGCCACCCAAGCCACCAGGTGGGGAATGTTATCACAAAAGGAAAGTGATAAGCACAACTTTGGTGGAGATTTGTTAGGTCAGCTAAACCTACTGTATATCTATGAGGAAGTGAAAAATTATTCTACAAAGCCATTTCTGTAAGTAGTATAACAGCTACACCAATCAGCCATAACATTATGACCACCATCATGACCATGATGCACTGCATGTTCAGACACCTTTCTATCAGAACCAGCACAAACTTTTACAGCAATTTGAGCTACAGAAGCTCAACAGTTGGATTGGGGCACACACAGGCCAGCCTTCACTCCCCATGTGCATCAGTGAACCTTAGACGCCCATGAACCTGTCTCTGATTCACCACTTTTCCTTCCTTGGACTTTTGATAGGTACTGACCACTGCAGACTGGGAACACCCCACAAGAGCTGCAGTTTTGGAGATGCTCTGACCCAGTCATCCAGCCATCCCAATTTGGCCCTTGTCAAAGTTGCTCAAATCCTTATGTTGCCCATTGTTCCTGCTTCTAACACATCAACTTTGAGGACAAAATGTTCACTTGCTGCCTAATATATCCCAGCCACTGACAGGTGCCATCAGATAATCAGTGTTATTCACTACACAGGTCAGTGCTCATAACGTTATGGCTGATCTGTGTATTTTATACGTCCAGTACCACAACATATGTAGTATGAAATTTTGTAAATCAAATCAAATCTATAAAATATACAAGCTGTGGACATCTTAATGGACATAAAAAGTCACGTCAAATTGAGCCAAAGCATTTTATTAACATAATATTAAGTTGTCCACCGATGGTAAGGCTGGAGAAAACATTAATCAAGTTCTTACCCAACAGCCCCAAGAGGTACTTTGATTAGACTTGAGCTCCTGCGGGCTGGTGTAACGACTGAAGGAGAGAAATATTTCAGCCTCTAGGACCCTCTTATTGGTAATGGAGCCATAAGTGGCAGGAAAATACTGAGGTATTAGCAAAGAAAATTAACCCTGGATCCCAAGCGAGCCTGTTAGAGTTGATTATAATGTATCTCAGATATTCACTTTTGTCTTTATGGCCGAAAGTATCCAAATATACTCCCTAAATGGGTGTTCTCTTGACAAGTTATATGTTCAAGTCTGATCTTGTAATCACTGTCATTTCTCTAAGCTAGTGGGGATGGTTAATGGACATAGTGCATGCTGGGTCAGAGAAATCAACCTTTCATAGTTTTGACAGGTACATAGTGTGTGAAAGAAGGGTACTTAGTTATACTTGGACTCATCAAATGTCATGTTGCTCTTTCTGTTAAAAGGAGAGAAGAAACCTGATAGGGAAGGGGTGAACATCCTGTGACAGGACCTACCTGATTAATACAATTAAAGGGTAGGTACTATTTATTACAACTTGGATTTTGTTTTTGGAGCTCTGGTCATCAGTTATATAAATTCTAATAATATGGTAGTGCCAAATAGTTGTTAAGAGGGAACTCGGCAACATCTCTACAACTACGTCCAATGGGGCAAGAAACAGGTAATCAGAGAAATTGTCAAGATGATCTACACCATTTTATGTGTGAGAGACACAAGAGAAGTGAACAGACTAATTTCAGAAATGTTGGTTTACTGTAATTAGTATTGCAGGAACATGCAGATAGATAGAGGGCGGTTGTAGCTCAGAGGAAGAGCGGGTCGTCCACTAATCAGAAGGTTGTTGGTTCGCAAATGAAAACATAGTTCTGAATATTACGCTGGCCAAGGTCCATATTTGGCGACTTGTAAGATAATAACAAAAGAAAAGGCTGGACTTCCCTACCCTGTCCTAAGCCCATTGGTTCCTTCTGAATTTTTAAAAGCAGATCACAAGTATAGTTTCCTTTTTTAAAATGGCTTAGTAATTTTCTAAAACAGCTGCTCACTGTAGTTTTTGTGTGTGCGTCTATGTTACTCAAACAGGTGGAAATGGTGCATTTGTTGGGGACTATTTAGTATTTTCAGTGGTGGATTAATACACATTTGATGCTCTAGTGAGTATTTCTGGCAGCAGGACAGTGTATGTGGGACTGAATAAAAATAAACATGTTCATGTTAATAAAGGAACATTTCACCCAGTGCAACAGTGACAACAATGGAGCTCTATGACATAGATGAAGAAGATATCAGGCTTTGATATACACACAGTACCGGGGCAGCTGTGGCTGTGTCGTAGGGTTCGAAGGTTGTCGGTTCGATCCCCAGCTCCTTTCACTGCACGTCAAATTGTCCTTGAGCAAGATACTGAAGCAAGAACTACAGCTCCTGATGCTGTGCATCGGTGTATGTGTGTGTATAAATGATTAGTTTCCTTTCTGATGAGCACCTTGCATGGCAGCCACTGCCATCAGTGTGAGTGGGGCATGTAGTGTACAGTGTCGAAAGACTATAAAGGTGCTATATAAGTAATGTTTATTAACTTGTTAGCTACATTCACTGATGGTTTGGCTCTGGTCATGGGATTTGCTGATGAGAAGAAAAATACAGAATTACAGCAGCCTTATCCTTTAACCTATGTCCATTCAACTGCATTTCACAGTCTTTATGAGAGCACACAATCTAAATAAAAAAAAAAAATCTAAATTAAAAAATAAATCAAAACCTCCGGTAACTACTAATAACTAATAAGTAGATGTTAAATTGAGACTAATCTTTCAAGCTATGATTTCCAAGGTCAACATGCTCCTATTGTAACGTAATGTATCGTATCATATTGAATCCTATCTAATTGAATCGTATCGTGTTGCACCACACAAATCTTATGGAATTTGATATTATATCATATTGGGGCGGCTGTGGCACGGAGGAAGAGCGGGTTGTCCACTAATCGGAAGGTTGTTGGCTCAATCCCCAGCTCCTCCCGCCACAGGTCAAAGTATCCTTGAGCAAGATACTGAACCCCGAATTGCTCCCGATGCATCGGTGTGTGAATGTGTGTGAAAGGGTGAATGTGGCATGTAGTGTAAAAGTGCTTTGAGTGGTTTACCATTTATTGAGTCGAACCATATCGTATAAAAATAAAATCAGTCAACGATCCAATTTGTAATTATTTGCATACACTTCCTAACATATTACCACCTTGGATACCATCTTTTGTGCATTTATTCCAGTGTTTTATCAACTCCATCGTCAATAGAGTTTACTCAGTTATCACTTTTATTCTTTCACTGAACACAGTGTGTCAGTCACAGTTTACTCTTCTTTCTCTTTTGATTCTACACTCTATAACACTTCATCACTGATAGGCACAGATCAAATATGAGGAAGAGGGAAAAGTGAAGGGAGAGCAGGCAGAAGGAAGGGGAGGAGGAGGAGGGTGTCAGGGAGGGAGGAGGCGAGGGGTTCTGCATGGCCAGGAGGCAGTACGGAGGCGACACATCTGTCGCAGTATTCACTTTCTGCTCTGTGGGGCCTGGGTGTCAACGCTAGCCGCTGGGGCCCAACTCCAGTCATCCTGGAGCTCAGATGGAGGAACAAAGCCACCCTAAAAGCAGCCCTGTGCAGAACTCTGCTCTTGATAGTGGGAAGTGATACTGAAGTCCCTGCCTCCCCAAAAACAACTATCCTGCTTCACTAACTAACTGTGCTGTACCACAATCCATCGTCTCTCCCAAACTATCTCATCCATACAGCACAAGTCATGATTGTTGCACAATTTAAATGTTATTGCTCCTCTTGTTAAGAGCTAACTAGCTCCAGCTCTATCTTCACACAACAGTAAAATGAGTGACACTTATTTTCGTTTTCTCAGGATTTCGTGTTGGGAATGTAACAAAAGCATAGTTATATATTACAATGGATCAGCTCAATTTTCAATTTGAAATCAAAAATAAAATCTAGTTACTATGAATGGGAAAATAGCTTGACCCCTAAACTTGAACCCTAAGGACCCGAGACCTGACCTGGGACCCGTATGCATTCAGATTGCACAAACCTAAGGGAACCTCTTTTGTCTGCCAAGCATGCACAGGGGAGAAGGTTACTAACATTAATTCAATTCAATTCAATTTTATTTGTATAGCGCCAATTCATAACAAAAGTCATCTCAGGACACTTTTCAAATAGAGCAGGTCTAGACCAAACTCCTTATAACATTATGACACAAAGGTTTGTTTCTACATCTTGGCGGGATTCAGGTCTGACACACAGACACTCAGTTCTGCATGGGCCCAGGTCTTAGCTTTGAAATAATAGACTGGTCAGTTCCAGGTAGTACATTTCTGGGTGGTCTACTTGATAGTTCCTTGTGCATTCCCAACTTCTCTATCATCCAATACAAAAAAACCCTGCTTGCAATATAGGTGTCATATTTGACTCGGATCTTTCATTTCACAACCAAGTATCCAGTAATATAGTCATGCTCCCTTCAGCTGTGGGCAATAGCTAAAAAATGGTTCGCTTAAATGGTCAATGGCTTTCTTTCCCCCTTTCACTGGCTCAGACAGGCTGAATTTTAGAAGAGATGTTAAGATTCTGGTTAGAACCTTAAGGGTTTGCATGGTAAAGCTTCTCGTTACATTGCTGATATGTTAATCCCTCATGAGCCACAGTGCAGTGGTATTTTTTTAATATTTTAAATTCTTTGTACAAATACACAATTATTGGGAAGTCTAGCCTTTTAAAGATATTGTAATCTGTTTTTTTATAGCATTTTTATTAATTTATAAGATCAATAATTACAAGCATGGGTCAAAAAATGCTAAAATTGTGGCTATTATGATGGCTTCAGCTTGTAGTACTGAACAACTTTTGTAGTAAACTAAAAAGGCTTTGCAACACAAAGATACATAAAAAGTTAAAAACAAGAATCTCTTACTTGAGTCAAGAAATTTGAGAAATGTATGATTTGAATTTCAGATCAGATTTTCAGGACATTTGGTGGATTAAAATTAGAGATGAAAATATTGGACAATACAGTAAATATATTTAGATTTTTTCACTGGAGATTTTTATTTGAGCCACACATACACACAGGCACACACACACACAAATGAACCTTTGGTCCACTAAATAGGCATTTATTACCTATTGCTCTAATCCCAGTCTCTTGTGAGCAACATCTGAGCATCTAATCTCTAATGTCATTATGGTCACTTTGTCCAGGGAACAGCCCTTGGTGCCTCAAATCAATAGAGCCTGTTTAGAGTTCGATCTCAGAGGTGCTTTCTGGCCAGACAGTGGGGATTTGTTTTCCACTGTCTCTGGGGCTGAGAGGGCCTGGTGTGGCCAGACTGACCCTGAAGCCCTAAGGCCCCTTAACTGGCAAAAAGCCTTCTGCACTGGAGGTCCTAAACAAGTACCCTGAGGGATGCCAGGGTCACCAAGCTGTTGCTCCTGGCACTGAGCTCCAGCTGCTGGGTTTGTTGTTTTTGTTGCATTCTGCTGCCACTGTTGTTGTTGTTGAGTGGAGTGGCGTCTCTCCCTCCACCTCTGTCTCCATCCCTCTCTTCCTCCCTTCCTCCCTCTCTATCCATCCAGCCTGCAGGGCATAAAGGAGCCCCATGAATTAATGAAGATGAGCAAGGTAATTAAACGTGGTGGTGATGGCGACACAGATCCTGGGAGGGTTTCAGAGGGACAGGGAGGTCCACATGGGGCCTCGGCCTGCCTGTTCCGCTATTACCCTCCTCCCATCCTCCATCCCCATGGTCCCCAGGTTGCATGGCACACAGATATGGCTTGATTGGCCTGCTGGGCACGGGGAAGAGGAGGGTTGGTGAAGTTGGCACCCAGGGGAGGTGGAGGGAGAGGCAGGATGGAGGGGGGTAGATTGAGCTCAGGCCTCACCTGTGGCCCCGGAGCCCCTCCCTGGATCCCTCCCCTGGCAGCCAGGTCACGCTGCGTGGTCCAAACACCCCCTGCCTGGGGAGGAGAAGAGGAAAACAACAGCATGGAGGGAAGGGAGGTGTAGAGGGAAGGATGGAGGGGATAAGGGAGGTAGGGCAAGAACCATAGGGGCACTTCCAGGGATTATGGCCCCACGCTGGCCCAGCCTTGATGGACGTCTCACTGGCAAGCACTTGCCCTTTTATAAGATGTGATGCTTGACGACCACCTCCCCGCCTGCAGTTGGAGGAGGCCAGAAGACAGCAGCTCTCATTGGTCACTTAACAGGGTCTTATCATGCCTTGACTTTTTTTTTTTTTTTACCAACTTTGATCTACTTCAGACTCATAAAGACAGATAAAAAAAACATTATGAAGTTAACTGCTTTTACATTTTAGAAACCATACACATCAATAATCATATTTCTTGGAGGGATAAGGCAAGGTTTTGGATGGAACCGTTTACTGGAAACTGATCTGACCAGTAACAATATACATAAGTCATTCAAGCTAAAGTAGCTGAAACTTGGGTCCCACTTTCATTTCTGTCATTATCATTCAGATGTGTTAATATTGGACTCGTTTAATTTATTTCTAGGATCTGGGAATGCAACAATGTCCTGGTGTGGGGGAAGAAATAAGAGCATCAAAAAAGTTGTTAACTAAACATGTTTGGAGAAAAAAATAACAGTTGAATATAATATGAAGTATCCATAAAATATGTAATCCGGCAGACACAGAGCCAAGTCCAATATTTACTCTCTTTTAGCTCTGTTTTTGGTCTCCACCAACTCATGAGAAAATGATCTGTCTCTTTAGCTGCTAAATGCTCCACTATGTTCACCAGCCAGTCTCTGTGTTTGAGCATCCAATAAAGAGCTGCCTGTTGCTGCTAAAAAAGAGACAAAAAATGTTTGCTGTAAATCCAAAACAATGTGCTAAGAAAGGCTAAAAAGCTAATAGATTTAATAGAATGAATAGATTTTGGGTCTTTTTATAACAACAAATTCAGATTCAACATCTCAAATGTAAATATTTTCTGGTTTCTCCTCTATGACAGTAAACTAAATATATTTGTGTTGTGGACAAAACAAGAAAATTTGAGGACGTCAGCTTGGGCTTGAGAAACTGTCATCAACATTTCTAAGAATTTTCTTATGTTTTATTGACCAAACAACTAATCAAGTGATCTGGAAAATGGTTGGCAGGTTAATAGATAATGACAGCAATCGATAGTTGCAACTAACACAATAGCAGCTTCAAATAAAATATGATTTTATCATTTACTTTACTTTTACTAAGGCCAACTTGAAACTCTTTCTCACTTTTTTAGGCTACAGAGACAAATCCAAATGTCAAATTTAGTTTTGTGGCCACCCTAGTTTCCGGAAAGTTGTAATCTGCAACTAAAGCGCTAGCTGCCACAAAATCCTACACATTGGTCCTTTATTTACAACAAAAAAATTCCTAATAAAACAGAGAACAGATATTCCAACACAATGGCTTCTCACTTATACTATAATTCTTATAGTTTCTTACAGTCTCTTTTTAAGCTGCCACACTGTCAGTGTTAAAATGTAGTGTCTTCCATGTTTTAAGATGTTTTTATGTTGATTTTGTAATTGTTTTTTGATGTGTGTCTGTTGTTGAGGTATGCTTGTTTCTGTGAAGCAACAAACTGTAGCACTGTGCCCAAGACAAATTTCCCCTCGGGGACAATTAAGTTTATTCTATTCTATTCTATTCACCTTGCACTCCATTCTTTATGATGAATACTACATGATGATGATTTAAATGTTGATGTTATTTATAATGAATGAAATGAAGAGATGGATCTGGTGATGAACCCCAAGGCAAGGCCTGCTCTGGTGGCTCTCTGACTCACAGCATTATTAGAGGACTCAGTGGAGCAGTTAGATCTATTCCGGCATCATCACCCAGGAGAGCTTCCCAAACCTCCTCTGTGTTTATTTGTTATCAGCGCCTACACCAGACTAATTAGACAGGCCTTAACTTTGGTCTTCAGCCATATTACTGCCCCAGGGGCGATTGGACAAGCTCCACTTACCCCCGTTTGCCCCCCATTCGGCCCACGCCAGAACACGTGTCTTCACAATGGCTTCTGGGAATTTAATGCCATGAGGCGGCAGGTAGGATGTTTTGTTCAGCTACGAGTTACCAATGTGCACACACCCCCATCTGCCCATTAAACCCCTCCAACCACCCCCCCCATGTCCCAAGATGCTGTTTGTCATCAGCGACCCTGAAGTTTGTTATGTAAACAAAAATTTGGCCTAATTAACAGGAGGGAAGTGTTGTCTTGGGAACAGGAGGGGAAGGGCAGGTTGGAGCCAGGTGGCCTTTTCTCACTCCTGCCAGCATTATTTCATCCAACTACATATATTGTTTTTACCTGTGTACGAATAAACAACACAAACTCCGTAAACACTGAACAGTATCCATACACAAGGATCAAACAAAGGCAGAGTATCACTAAAGAGTGGCAAGAAGGGAGTGATTATGATAAAATATCAGAAAAATAGAGAGGAGGAGGGTTAGAGAGGAAGAAAGAAAAACAGACAATGGTTGGGGTCCCAGCGGGGAGAGGAGGAATACCCCCTCCATCGACCAGGGAGTGCAGAAATGCACTGATTACAGAAAGGTTGGGGGGGTGGGAGAACAGGTGTGCTGTGGACCCCCTCGTGGGACCACCCCACCGCCCCTGGGTCCTCAAAGGGAGGGACGAAGATGGGACGTGGAGGGGGGAGGCAGGAGGGATAGGGGGAGAGGGAGAGAGAGGCAGAGCTTAGCTCATTAGAGAGAGTTTGCTTCTGCTAACTCACCTTCCCCTCGGGATGCGGCTAATCATTGCACAGGGACCAGAAGCCAGTTAGAGATGAGGTGGAGAAAGAGAGACTCATTTAGTATCCGTCCCTCCTGTCTACATCCATGAACCTGCGGTGCATTCGTCTGATCATCCCCAAACAAGGGCCACAAGTGGCACAGCACCATCCAATCTAAACACATTTAGCATCACTGCAGAGATGATTTAACAGGGCTGGTTATATGATAATGATTCCACTTTAACCCTCATCATGCATGTACGGTGAGGGAGGTGAGAGAGCCCTTTACATTATGTGTCATAATGCAGAGGAATACATTATGGTGAAGGCTATGTGCCTGGCAGTGCAGGAAAAAGTATTCAGATCCTGTCCATAATATTAAAGCAATATTAGACAGTCCCTAGACAACAGGGTTTTGGGGGATTTTTGGGGGATTGTTGTGGCCTAAAATACCTGATTTCACAATTTCACAGTAGCGTTCTAAAAGATCTGTTAGTGATGTGAAGTGGAAATTGCAAAAAATAGAAAATGTTTTGTATTATTCATTAAAAATCAAAGGCAACTTGCTGAAACTCCAGTGACACTACAACAAATGGTCACACAGAATTCACAGGGATTGGTTGATGTAGTAAGTGTAATATTGTATTAATTTGAGTAAATGTGCATAAATGTGGTTTTCCAACTTTCCATCACTGGCCTACTTCTTTCGCCGTGTCCTTACTGTGAGCAGCTCAGTTGATGAGTTTGTGTTCATTTACTGTGTTTTGACTGATTGTCTGCAGTATGAGAGGCTCTGATTGCAGCTATGCCGCAGTGTGCAGATACAGTGTTTGACCAAGAAAAATAAACCATGTAATCATGGGCTTTTTTGCTGCTTTTCATACTATTTCATTGTTTTGACAAGTTAAGATAGCTATCTAGCGAGTGCTAATTAGCTAGCATTTCTGAAAACAAACAAGGAAAAACTCACAGGAACGACTTAAGAACTTGTCAGATGCAACATTTTTTCAAGTCATATCATTTAGGGAAGTTTAGTCCTGTAAGTTCAAGTAAAGGCTACCAAGAAGTGGGAGGTTTTGTTTCTTGGTTTTCAAGTACCACTAGAAGTGAATTTAGCATGACTAACATGATAGGATGAAATTTTTCTACAGCCAAGGACATGAGGAAATTCAAAACAGCGAGGAGCTTTGTACTGAATGAGAGCACTTTGACAACTCCTGGTGAGTATCCGCTGCTGTCAATTAAAAGCAAAAAATATCAGACACACACCTCACTCTTGAATATAGAGGTGGACATTCAACCTTTACTCTGATCATTAGGATCAGGTGGCCTCTAAGTCCCTTTAATTGCAAAATATTCTAATGATTTCTCTGAAGCTAGCTCACCCCATACCCCACCCCCAAGGACATTGTAAAGTGATATGATCCAGCTAAGACAGGGGAGAGCCGGCCTCGCAGCTGGAGCAACGTCAAGGACCATTTCCATTTCCCAATGATTAATTTGAATTTAATATCTTAAATCAAAACCTAATTAATTTAGATACAGTTTTGATGGTTTCCTGCTACTAATACACATGCTGTTAATTAGATGTAGCCTAATGTCACGCACCCCCCCCTTCTCCTTTAACATAATTAAAACAGAAGTTCCCAGCCCGTGTGAACTAATGTTGCTACAACCCAGAACAGAAGGTGGTGTGATGGTTGACAGGGAAATGTGATTTCTGTTGGGTTGTTGAATGGTGGGGGCAGCTGTGGCTCAGAGGTAGAGCGGGGCGTCCACTAATTGGAAGGTCGTTGGTTGTTTCGTGCAGAGACTTCCTTGAGCAAGATACTGAATGATGTTGTGTCATCGGCGTGTGAATGTGCATGAATGAGTTAGCTTCTACTTGATGGGCTTTGCCATCACACTGTGTGAAAGGCAAATGTGGTCGGAAGACTACGAAGACGCTATACAAATACAGGTCCAAAGTAACCTATACAAACAAACCATACCATTAGTACATAATAGCATGACAGCTTAATTATAACTTTGCAATCTCCAAGTGAAAGCTTTGGGAAAAAAATAAACAAACTTTCAGCTTGGCTGACATAGGAGACATGCTATATGTCTCTGTTCAAAGATGATCTCTGGTGTCAGAGAAAGATCAAGAACACTCACAAAATACACCTATGGTCATCCACTGATTCCTATAGTACTTTACCTCTGACTTCTTCACAGTGGATGCTGTGAGCAGTTTTGGGAATTATGTGGATAGTATTATAATATTATACTGGTTTCTGTCTTGCTTGGTTATTACTGTATACAGAAGTCCAAAGTATTCCACTTCCAAAGTCCTGCCCCTTTTTGCTCTGTACTCCTATAACAGCTGAGCAAGCCTCATATAGAACCTCTGTCAACTTTCTCCTTTCCTGCACTGTACTGTACTATTTATGCTATGTGCTAGGGTTATCAATGTTGAAAATAGGGTCACTGATGCACGTGGGGAGCAAAGACTGGCCCGTGTGGTCTGATCTAACAGGCAAGCTACTGTAGCTCAAATTGGTGAAAACGTTGATTCTGGTTCAGATAGAATGGTGTCAAAACACAGTGCACCGCGGTTTGTTACATATGGGGCTGCGTAGCCAGAGACCAGTCAGGGTGTCCATGCTGAACCGTACACTGCCTACACAACCTTCAATGGGCACGTGAGCATCAGAACTGGACCATGGAGCAATGGAAGAAGGTGGCCTGGTCTGATAAATCACGTTTTCTTTTACATCTTGTGGATGGCCGGGAGCATGTGCATCACTTACCTGGGGACCACATGGCACCAGGCAGCACTATGGGAAGAAGGCAACGTCCCCAGCACACCACAGTAAAGAAGAGGACCTGAGCCTCCTCGGAAAGAACAGCCTGCAACTTCAAAATGTGGTTGTCTTTTCAATAAAGACAAGCATAGCACTTAGCATATCTAAGGACAGGTAAGGAGGAAGTTGACCGAGGTTCTGACCAAGGCTTGCTTAATTGTTATTAGAACAGAGCAAAAAGGGGTGGGATTTAGAAAGGGTCAGCTGTTGATGATACATGGTGGACAGATTTGTCAACTAAGACAAAGGCCATTTCCTTTGGCCATGCAGCTGTCAGGATCCTGACATGTTAGAATCTATAGAAGCATCTAAATTAAAAAAAGGTAATGTATTATTTTTATACAGTATTTCTTTGTGGGAGGCACACCTTAATTGATACTTCTTAACCACAAATAAAGTTTTTCATTGACAAGGCATGCTTTTGTGATATAGCGCCACACTACCAGAAATGTGTGCATGGAATAATTATTATTTTCAGAACCAATTAAAAGTTGAAGAACTCCATTATAAAAATTATAATGTCTGTATCCAAGCAAAGCAGCTGAAATATTAGTTATTCAATTTCATTTCAATAAAAAAAATGTTGTATAGCGCAATTCATAACAGAAGTTATCTCAGGACACTTTTCAAATAGAGTAGGTCTAGACCGAACTCTTTAAAACATTAATTACAGAGACCCAACAGTACCACCATGAGCAAGCACTTGGCGACAAGGGCAAGGAAAAACTGCCTGTTAAAAGGCAGAAACCTAGGACAGATCCTTCGGCTCTAGGTGGGTGGTCGTCTGTCTCGATCAGTTGGGGTGACAGAGAGAGACGGAGACGGAGACAGAGACAGACAGACAGGTGCACAGCAACAACAGTATTGGTAATGGCAATCTAGCAGGACCATGGCAGGAGGCTCCACCAGGATTAATCCATTCAGCGTTGCATTCATTTGTACAGAAGGTAAAACAAAGCACATGGCTGTAAATGACAATGTATTCTGGTCCTGTTCCTAAGTCATCTGCAGGTGAATCCTGCCTCAGAGTTAGAAAAGGAGTCACATGCAACAATATTACAATCTGCAAATAACACCAGATAGAAGCTTTTACTGAACTTGTGGTGTTTTTCTAAGTCCATTATATAACCAGTAATTATGATTTATTTAAAGGAAAATAATCATATTTAAGTATGTAATTAGTTTAGGCTTTTACAGGAAAAGAGTTAGGATAGTTGTTTCCCCCTGCTCCTTGTCCTTATGCTACGCTAGGATAACTACATCCTGATTCCAAATAAGTTAATAAAAAATAGTTTGACATTTTGGAAAATATATTTGCTTTCTTTCCAAGAGTAAGATGAGGAAATTGATTATCAATCTCTTGGTATCAACTTCTGTGCATGAATTACAAAGCTGGAGACAGGATATGGGTAGCTTACTTGAACAAAAAGACTAGAATAAGGGGAAGAGAGCTAGCTTGCTCTATCCCCCCCAAAAAAACTACACATACAACAACACCTCTAAAGCTCCCTAATTAAAAGCACTGCATGTGTAGGTCTAATGTGAAAACAACAATTTTAAGTCTTAACTTTTCTAGGCTAACCACTTCTCTGCAGCTCTGTTGCCTACTCACTAGCATGAGATTGATATTGATCTTCCAATCAGAGGATGATCATATTTCAGCTACTGACAAATTGAAAATTCAAGAACCAGTTTTAACAGAACCTCACCATGTTGAAGAAGCTTGATTGTATTCATAAACCAAATCACACCAGAAGCAAGAAGTAGCACTTTGCATCAGCTTAGAGGGCTTCTTTCCCTAACAGCACTCTGCTCAACCACTCCCTGGGGTCCTGTGGCTCTATACAGCCTAATCTAAGAGGGTAATTAGAGCTACGCGAGGGGGGGATCAGTAAGGCAGGAAGATGGGGCCAGAATCCAGCTCTTTACACACATAGCACACACACACACACACACACACACACACACACACACACACACACACACACACACACGCATCAGACATTTTAATTTAGTTGGTTGTTAGGTCTGCTCAAATGGCCAATGGCCATGACCTGAAATATCTCAACAAATATTGGGAAATTTTGAGAGGTCCTCAGAGGATGAATCCCAATGGCTTTTTTTCTTTTTTGAAATCAATGGTAATGGTAATGGTAAATTAACCTGTGCTTGTATAGCGCCTTTCTAGTCTTCCAACCACTCAAAGGGTTAGGGTTAGGGTTTTACACTACATGCCACATTCACCCTTTCAAGTCCATCAAACAGAAACTAACTCATTCATACACCGATGCACAGCATCTGGAGCAATTTGGGGTTCAGTATCTTGCTCAAGGATATTTCGACATGTGGCGGGGGGCGGTTCTGTATCTGTAATTCTGTATTTTTTTTCTCATCAGCAAATCCCATGACCAGAGCCAAACCAACAGTGAATGTAGCTAACAAGTTGATAGATGGTACTTTATAGTCTTTCGACCACTCAATGTGCTGTACACTGTACACTACATGCCCCACTCACACTGATGGCAGTGGCTGCCATGCAAGGTGCTCATCAGAAAGGAAACTAATGATTTATACACACACATACACCGATGCACAGCATCAGGAGCTGTAGTTCTTGCTTCAGTATCTTGCTCAAGGACAATTTGACGTGCAGTGAAAGGAGCTGGGGATCGAACCGACAACCTTCGAACCCTACGACACAGCCACAGCTGCCCCGGTACTGTGTGTATATCAAAGCCTGATATCTTCTTCATCTATGTCATAGAGCTCCATTGTTGTAACTGTTGCACTGGGTGAAATGTTCCTTTATTAACATGAACATGTTTATTTTTATTCAGTCCCACATACACTGTCCTGCTGCCAGAAATACTCACTAGAGCATCAAATGTGTATTAATCCACCACTGAAAATACTAAATAGTCCCCAACAAATGCACCGTTTCCTCCTGTTTGAGTAACATAGACGCACACACAAAAACTACAGTGAGCAGCTGTTTAAGAAAATTACTAAGCCATTTTAAAAAAGGAAACTATATAGGCTACTTGTGGTCTGCTTTTAAAAATTCAGAAGGAACCAATGGGCTTAGGAAAGGGTAGGGAAGTCCAGCCTTTTCTTATTATCTTAAAAGTCGCCAAATATGGACATTTTGTCATGCCTGCTTTATAATGTCACGTTTGCAATGCGGTACACCTCTGTCATCTGCATGCCTTCAAATCCCACTAAGAGCGTTTCAGAAGTGGAGCATCTTAAGAGCGTCTTGTCTGCCCAGGGTTGTTGACTTGTGTATTTTGTCCTTAAACATTGTACAATGTGTATAACAGGCGTGATCAGCTCAGATGGCTGCGGTGCGTGTAATCACCTGAATATAGGAATCTTGTTTGTGAATGTTTCACAACGTTAACCTCATGTACTCATACAGACGCTACAGCATAATACCTGCATTTTGGGAAGTCCGAAAGACAGACAGTTTTGGTCTTTTGATTTGAATTGTTGAAAATGATTAAATAAAAATTTAAAAATGTGAAAAGGTGTACATAATTTAGCCTGATTGTCCTTTTCTTCCTCGTATGACATTGTGCTGTTTGTTACTCAACTGCAGTGATGAAGTTACCACCACATCAAAGTCTTCAGTTTGTCAATGTCCTTCTATTCCGACATTTTCTCAGACGTTGATCAGAATCTCAGTTTTCTTTTACTCCTTTCTTATGTTTCTACTCTTCCCCCCCTCCCTGATTCACTCACTCACTCACTCACTCACTCACTCCCTCTCTCTCTTTCTCTCTTCCATGGCAGAAGCTCGGCAGGACACTGATGTGCGATGAGCTTTTCTGAAAGGTCCCAGGAGTTCAGCGCCGGTGCTGAGCGTCTCTCTTTCTCTCTCCACTCACTCTCCTCTGTTTCCACTTCCACAATTTCTCTCTCTTTGTCTCTTTCCCGGCCTACCACACCCCCTTCAGTTCAACCCCCACCCCTCCTCCATTCACATCACATGAGTCTCAGAGATTGACAGCCTCCCCAAAGAGTGAGAGCTGGAACAGATGGAATATGAATGGTTCACTCGTGTATGAAAAAGGTGTCTGGGTGAAGGAATTGGTGTAGGGGGACCCTCAATTGCGAGTTAAGTATGACTAAATCCCATTGTAACCACCACTCCTTCCCTCCCCAATCACAATCACAAACACATACACACACACTTACACACATCATGACAAAAAAGGAAATAAGGGTTTAAAGAGACAGTGACAAATGATGGCCTTACTTCTATCGTCTTCCAAATAAAATAATAAAGAAGTACATTTAATAAATACAAATATGTTTGCTTTCTTTTTACACCCCAGTTTAGTTACTTTCTGACCTAAGTCTCTCCCTTGCTTAGATATCAATAGCTCATCAATTTTTCACATCTCCCCAAATCAGTGCATGTGCAGCATGGGCAAAATCCTGCACTGTCTCCCTCCAGAATTTGACATTTTGACGTGTCGTGTGGGGCTAGTTTTTCTAAAGTGGATACAATGAAGCCACAAAGTGGACTAGGACCTTAGTTTTTTCAAAAAATCTACAGCCAGCCTAGGAGCCCATGAGGCTGTTGCATTCCGGAAGACAGAATTGTTAAATGAATGCCACTATAAACTAGTACAAACATTTCATTCTTAGACTACATTCTTACTACTAGTGAGGCATGAAATGCCCAGGTTCAAAACAGCTAGGTGGTCTGTATTCAGCTGTAATTCACAAGTCAAGTTTTCCTCTGGGTACTCGCCAGTCAGTTCACTACATTATATTACAGTTTTCAATGACTTTGGCCACGGCCTTCTTGCACATCCCTGATTGTCAGGCCCAGCTCTACATTGCCATACGTGGCTCAATGTATACAACCTTAGAGCTAGTTGGTGTTGTTGTTAAAAATAACTAGATGCTTGTGTTTACCATGAAGCGTGTAACATGTTAAACGATGGTAACATACTCCAAGTTAACATAATACCGGTTGTTAATGTAACCAGTATGAAATATAGTGCTACTAAACCCTTACGTTATCAAGAGGTGTAGTTGCAATGTTATTCCACAAATCCACTAGAGCACCATACAATGTTCTATCAGGATTGGTAGAGAATGTCACATCAGATTGCCAGAGATTGCTTCTTCCTGAAATGTCCTGAAAATGTTGCTGGTATGAAATGCAAAATGAAAGTGAAAGTCTTGAAACTTTGATTATACCCATGCATCCATACTGATAAGCTTCTCTTTCATCAGAGTTGCAACTGTGAACCCGAGAACGACAGCTTCTGTTATTAGTACTTATAACTTATTAAGTTATTAGTGTTGAAACTCCAGTGAGTTGAAGCAACTTTGTTTGCTAGCCTGTTGCTAGCCACAGTGAAAAGAGAGAACACCGCTAGCTGTTGTATCACTGTACAAACGCTCTTAAAATAGTGCTACTGCTAATCGCTAGAAAATTGCTTGCTTAATTGGTTAATGTGTTTAATTGTATTATGCTCCTGAAGGAGTGCTAATGTGCTAAGCCAATTGTTAGTTTGGTTAAGGAACAGCTCGAAGCAGGGTAAAATATTAAAGGTGCATTGCACTTATTTTGTGTTAATATTAAAATCATTCAGCTTTAAATTGGTTATACATTTTAATGATTTGTAACCCGACTAAACTGTGTTGAGCTGGTTCTGTTTATTAAATTGTACATGATAAATACATAAATAGATTCAATTAAATTTCCTGTTTAAAGTCTAAAATATTAAAATGATGTATGGAACAGTTAAAAACAATGTTGCATATAGAAAGTGATGATAAATAATTAATTTGCCGACGTTAGAATACCAATTGTTGAGGTATATAGAAATTTACAATATATATATATATATATAATTTGTTCGTGCTTAAAATACCAGTTGCTATTACATTTAGTAATTCATTCCATTGTCAACAAAGTATGTTCTAGTAATTAATGAGGTCTCATGTTAGAAATAAGAACAGAACAGAGTAACTTAATACTCTGCACTACTTGTGCAGGTTGTTTTTTTTGAGCTACAAGAAAGAATCTTGAGAATCCAATGATGGCGAGCCCAGCCAGAGTGACTGTGGAGGGTCGGGGACGTGGTGAGGCCTGCCACACGACCAGCCAAAGAGGACATCGGATTAGTTTGCAAATTCAGGAACAGATAGGAATGTGTACACACTATTAACTCTACCTGGGTAGTAGAATACTCAGGACACCCGCATACAAGGATCAGGAACTGAACCTTGTTCTTTTCTTTTATTATTAGAGAGCTCTGTTTTATTTTTTATCTTTATTTTCATTCCATGTAAATTGCTGTTGATATTGTTGGGTTGCCAGAGGCAATAAAAACTATCAACTGTTCAATCCCCATACTAACTTGTCCTGAGTTATTACAGGCACCACACCTCGGACCTGGGTAGATGTTATTTGCCTTACTATTACTTCTTTTGGGTAAGCATTAGGGGTGCTACATTAACATGTTCACAGTCAACACGTTAATATATGAATGCTTAGCATGCTTAGCAGCGTTTAGCATGTTTGTCAGTGTAACATGCAGCTTACATTGTTGTATGTTAGTCTTTTTGAAGGAGTGCTCAAATTGAAACAACAGAGTACTTCATTCCTTCATGACCTCTAGAACAACACATGGAAACATCAGCCTATATCCGTAGGACCACATAGTTGTTTTGTTCCTTCAAAACTCTTTAAAAAATACATGTTTTATGATGTGACAATGGTTAAGGCCTGGTTAGGTTAAGGGA